TAGGAGTGCATGTGTTGTTGCTAGGACATGTTTGTGTGGTAACTAGGGAGTGGATATATTGTTGCTGAGAATATGTATATGTGTGGTAACTAGGGAGAGATTTCTGGGGAGTTTCTGTTTGGTTGCTAGGGAGTGGCTCTGTGGTACCTCATACATATCTGTGGGGTCGGTGGCTAGAGAATGGCTTTGTGATTACTAAGCAATGTCTGAGTGGTAACTAGGAATTGCCTGTGTTGTTGCTAGTGCATGTTTGTGTGGTAACTAGGGAGTCTATGTGTATTGTTGCTGAGACTTGTGTGTGTGGTAACTAGGGAGTGTCCATGTTGTTTATTGGGAGTGTTTGTTGGGTACCTTGTGAATGTCTGTGTGGTCAGTTGCTAGGGAATGTCTGTGGTTGCTAAGGAATATCCGAATGATAACTAGGTATTGTTTGTGTTGTTGCTGGGACATGTTTGTGTGGTAACTATGGAGTGAATGAATTTTTGCCGATACATGCTTGTGGTAACTAGGGAGTGATTGCAAGGAATTGTCTGTTTGGTTGCTAGAGACTGTCTGTGGTACCATGTGAACATCTGTGTTGTTGTTTAGGACTATCTGAGTGGTAACCGAATGTGTTGTTCCTTAAAAGTGTCTCTGTGGGGAGTCTGTGATGTTACTGAGATGTGACTGTGTGCAGTCATCACTAAGGACTGTCTGTGTGGTTGCCAGGGAGTGTCTGTGTGATACCTTTTAAATATCTGTGAGGCTGGTTGCTAGAGAATGTCTGTGTGGTTACCAAGAGATGTGTTAGTGTGTTCTTAAACATGCCTGTGTGGTAAGAGTGTGTGAGAGTGGTTGTTAGGGAGTGAATATGTGGTTGATAGGGTGTGTCTGTGTAATCAGTTGCTAGGTAATGTTTGTGTGGTTGCTAAGAAATATCTTGAGTGGTAAGTAGAGAGTGTCTCTGTTGTTGCTAGGGCATGTCTGTTTGGTAACTAGGAAGTGTAATTGGTGTCCCTGTGGTAGCTATGAAGTGGTTGCTAGTGAGTTTCAGTGGCTGCTAAGGACTGTTTGGATAGTTGCTAGAGTGTATCTATGTGGTTTCTAAGGAGTGTCTATGTGGTCAGTTGCTAGACCACCCAGAAATATATTTGGTGGTAACTAGGGACAATATTTGCTGTTGCTAGAGTATGTCTGTGTTGTCTCTATGGTGTGTCTGTGGTAACTATTGAGTAGTTGCTAGGGAGTGTCTATGTGACTGTTAGGGTGTGTTTGCGGTTGCTATGGAATCTCAGTGAGGTTGCTAAGGAGTGTCTATGTGGTAACTTGTAACGTGTCATGTCATTTTCATCCGCTTATCCGGGGCCGGGTCGCGGGGGCAGCAGTCTTAGGAGAAAACCCCAGACTTCCCTCTCCCCAGACACTTCCTCCAGCTCCTCCAGGGGGATCCAGAGGGCAGCCGAGACACATAGTTCCTCCAGCGTGTCCTGGGTCTTCCCCGAGACCTCCTCCCGGTGGGACATTCCTGGCACACCTCCCTAGGTAGGCGTCTTGGAGGCATTTGAAACAGATGCCAGAGCCACCTCAGCTGACTTCTCTGGATGTGGGGGAGCAGCGGCTCTACTGCGAGCTCCTCCCGGGTGTCAGAGCTCCTCACCTTATCCATAAGAGTGCGCCCTGCCACACTGCGGAGGAAACTCATATCAGCTGCCTGTATCCGAGATCTTGTCCTTTCAGTCATGACCCAAAGCTCATGCCCATAGGTGAGAGTAGGAGCGTAGACTGACCAGTAAATGGAGAGCTTTGCCTTTCAGCTCAGCTCCTGCTTTACCACAACAGACCGGTACATGGACCGCATTACTGCTGCACCGATCCAACTGTCAATCTCACGCTCCATCCTTCCCTCACTCGTGAACAAAACCCTGAGATACTTGAACTCCTCCACCCTGTTTAGGGACTTTCCTCCAACCTGGAGATGGCAGACCAGCTTTTTCCAGTGGAGCACCATGGCCTCGGACTTGGAGGTGCTGATTCTGATCTGGGCAGCATACCGCCCCAGTGCATGCTGAAGGTCCATGTCTGATGAAGCCAACAGAACAACATCGTCTGCCAATAACAGATGAAATCCTGTGCTCCCCGAACCGGACCCCCTCCGCTGAATGAGGAACTTGTAACTTTGGTTATAATAATGGGATGATGCAGTTGCTAGGGTGTTGCTATGTAATTGCTAAGTTGTTGCTAGGGTGTTTTTGTCCTGCCTGGTTTAATGTCTTCTATTCCTCATGAGGTGTCTTTGCTCATCAGGTATGTTCATCGTCTGTCATTAGTGTGCATGTAGATATACCGAATATTACAGCAGAACTGACGGAGATCACAGATCTGATGACGGTAATCACCTTCTGGAGAGAGAGAGGGCAAACAAACACAAGCTCACACTGTCATGAGGATCTCCATGCGTGCGTGCGTGTGCCTGTGTGTGTGTGTGTGTGTGTGATGGCATCAGGTTCTGGTGTTTTCCTGAAAGCTGATCTGGAGGGATGGTTGTGTTATTGGTGTGTTAGAATATTCAGCATGTTGATGACAGAGGATCTGCTCCTCCTGCAGTCGTCTCCTGGACTCTAGCTGTGTTTCCATCCTCCTGTATTATAGGCATTTGGATATGGGCGTAACAAATGCTTAATGGAGACACCAAGAAGCGCATAAATGCACAACTGAGTAGGAGAAACTGTACATGTGTGTGTGTGTGTGTGTGTGTGTGTGTGTTCTGGTGTCCTCCAGGTGTCGTCTGTGATCATGTTACTGTGATTTACACCTGAGACACTGCTGAAATGACTGTTTACAGCCTTTCTTCAGTTTCTGGCAGATTGACTGGAGCGTCTGCATGCTTTATATGAGTGTGTGTGTGTGTGTGTGTGTGTGTGTGTGTGTGTGTGTGTGTGTGTGTGTCTGTAAGCTGTGTTCTTCATGAGTTTGCTGATGTAGACTGATGACACACTCAAACACATACACATACCTTTACACATACACACACACAGACTTGATCCTATATCCCAATGGGGACAAACATGATGATGTTTTCACTATAAAACCCCTATATTCTCTCCCCAACTAGAGGTCTGCATTCCCACGGCTGTGTTTATGTGTGTGTGTGTGTGTCACTTGCTTGGTGTTTGTGTGTGTTTTTACAGACAGCATGTTATAGGCTGTTTGGACTCTGTATAGCTGGGTGGTTTTCGGTTTTGTTCTGTTAGCGGGAATGGGCGCGGCGGGTAGAAAACGAGCATTGATATATACATTAGATGTCGCCTGGCCTATTGTTGTCTATTGGACGGAATGCGTCAATAGCGCCGCCATCTTGCTACAGGGTAGCGCTCCTTTGAAATGAATGCGGGACCAAGGTACAGTGGAGGACTGTGGCCATCCAAAGCCAGAGATATACACATATACACATATATCTGTGATCGGGAGTTTTCCTGGATGTTAGTGTGTAATTTTTTTTCTAATTAGGAAAATGATAATTTGACATCACTTTTCTACATTGATGGATCAGTGATCACAGGCATTCCTGACAAAGAGCTTGTGTTTGTGTGTACAGAAATGTCCTATTCACCCTCCCTGTTAAACTTGATCTAATCATGTGCTGAAACACAGCTCCTCTCCTGCTTTCACTGCTCATACTGACGGAGGGAGCGATTCGTTTGTGAATGAATCTCCGTTATGAACGACTCTTTCACTAACGTTAGCCGACAATAATACAAGTTTCTGGCAGCGCAGCGTCTCGTTGTCATATTTCTCCTGCATTGTTTGCTGATTTTATTCAACAAAACTAGCATAAGCCGAGTGTTTAGTGCGAGTTGGAGCTGCTTTGCCGTATGGTGAATGCAGTAAGTGACTGTTATCATCAATAACGTTACCTGATTAGCACAAAAGTTCAGAACATTCAAAAACAGAAAAAACTTAATATTACCTATGAAATGTTCTGCCTTTGTGCTTTGTTTTCTTTGTTTGCTTGTTACTACACTCGTAGACAGCGCTAAAGTCCCGCATCTTCACGTAATAACACTCTTGACTAGTGCGGTTGAATGACACTTGTCCTGGGAGCACTGTACCAATATGGCGGCGCTATTGACGCATGCTCAGGGTCCCTATGCGATATCTAGTGTATATATCCAAAACCCAGCCCTGACAGGAAACAGTCTGCATTTCCATACTACATTTTCAATAATACTTGATTCTGTGTGATTTATACCGCTGTTTCCCAACCCTGTTCCTGAAGGCACACCAACAGTACATGTTCAACCTCTCTATAATCAAACACTCCTGAATCAACTCATCAGAACAGCCTGAACTGAATGCTCAGATAAGGGACACGTCCAGAATATGTACTGTTGGTGTGCCTTCAGGAACAGGGCTGGGAAACACTGCTTTATACGCATGTATGCCCATCGGGGATCTCAATTTCAGGTCCCCATTAGTCGGTGTGCATTCAGGTTTAAGCCCCACTGGGATATAAAAACAAGTACACACACACACAATCATACACACACACCAGTGATGTATCTGTTATATTTCTCAGTGTGTGGATGTTCTCTTTCAGGTCCTGCTGTTCAGCGTCAGGCTCAGAATGGCCCGAGTACAGAAGAGCTGGAGGTGCAGAGACGGTATGATTACACACACACACACACACTCATACATACAGAAACACAAACACACAACCACACTCTTAAAACACAAACACCTAAAACACTCTCTCAGACACACACACACAAAACACACCCATTTAAAGCACACACACATACTTTAAAACACAAACACACACACACACACAGTCACACATATACTTAAAACTCACAGACTTAAAACACATACACCTAAAACACTCTCACACACACACTCTCTCACACACACACACACACACACACACACACACACACAAAACACACCCATTTAAAGCGCCCACACATACTTTAAAACACAAAAAAAAACACACACACACACACACAAACACACACTCAAACATACAGAAACACAAAACAACACACTTAAAACACATACACCTAAAACACTCACACACACACACACACAACACACCCATTTAAAGCACGCACACATACTTCAAAACACAAAAAAACACACACACACACACACACACACAAACACACACTCATACATACAGAAACACACAACCACACACTTAAAACACATACACCTAAAACACTCACACACACACACACACACACACACACACACACCCATTCAAAGCACACACACATACTTTAAAACACAAAAACACACACACACACACACACATACATGCTGTCACACTAATACTTAAAACACACACACACCCACACATTTAAAGCACACACACATACTTTAAAACACACACACACACACACACACTTAAAACACCAACACACACAAACACACACATGCTGTCACACTAATACTTAAAACACACACTCACACGCACACACACACTTTAAAAACACATGCACACACACACACACACACACGCACATACATACAGAAACACACAACCACACACTCACCCACATACACACGTGCACACACACACACCTACAATACATAGGCACACAAACACGCACTTAAAACACACTCAGACATATACATACATACAGAAACACACAACCACACACTGAAAACACACACACCTAAAACACACACATACACATAGACGTTTCTACCCCACACACTCGATATCCTCATTAAGAAATGATTTTTCAGAGTGTCTACAGATCAAACCACTGCTGTCCAATGAGGGAGCAGTATGAATGACAGTAGTGTGTGTCTGTGTGTGTGTGCGCGTGTGTGTGTGTGTGTGTGTGTGCAGGCAGATGGAGATGCAGCAGATGCAGGCACACATCGAGCGTGAGAGACGGTCCTCCAACTCAGGTACCACACCGACTACATCTCTGCGCAATACAGATACATATACATACACATCAATCAGCTTTGACTGAATTATTACTTATGGAATGGCTGCGTCTCAATCAGCACATCAGCAGGGCGTGTGCACTAGTAAGGGCACTGATGAGCTGGGTTCACTACACCGAATGTGGCATGAGAACATTGTCCATCATCAACACTGGAGTTCATGAACAGCAGCAGAACTGATCACTCTCATCTGGTAATTAAGGCCAGCACAGTGGCGCAGTGGGCAGCACTGTGGCCTCACAGCAAGAAGGTCACTAGTTCGAGCCCCGGCTGGGTCAGTTGGTGTTTCTGTGTGGAGTTTGCATGTTCTCCCTGTGTTGGCATGGGTTTCCTCTAAGTGCTCCGGTTTCCCCCACAGTCCAAACACATGTGCTATAGGGGAATCAACTAAACTGGCCCTTGTGTATGAGTGTGTATGGGTGTTTCCCATTACTGGGTTGCAGCAGAAAGGTCGCATCTGCTGTGTAAAACATGTGCAGGAATAGTTGGTGGTTCATTCCGCTGTGGCGACCCCTGATTAATAAGAGACTAAGCCGAAGAAAGATGAATGAATGAATATATAGAGTTTTATAAGTGCACTACAGCTGAACTATTTCATATTCCAGCAACATTTCAACCATTAAACAACTGTAAATGTCTGCCAGATTCACGCTATCCTGTCTAGCTCTGTTTCATCATGTTAAAAATAAATAAATCACTGCAAGAATCAGGGAAACGTCTCTCATTTGTTGGTATATTTGATTATTTAGGCCACGTGATTCATATTCCTGTTAAGGGAGCATATGTAGTGTGCATATCAATGCTATCTTTTCAGGGCACAAATTATTTACTTCAATCATTCATTCATTTTCTTGTCGGCTTAGTCCCTTTATTAATCCGGGGTCGCCACAGCGGAATGAACCGCCAACTTATCCAGTGCGTTTTTACGCAGCGCATGCCCTTCCTTGGGAAACATCCACACACACACACTCATACACTGCGGACAATTTAGCCTACCCAATCCACCTGTACCGCATGTGTTTGGATTGTGGGGGAAACCGGAGCACCCGGAGGAAACCCACGTGAACGCAGGGAGAACATGCAAACTCCACACTGAGCTGAGGTTCGAACCAGCGACCTTCCTGCTGTGAGGCGACAGCACTACCTACTGCGCCACTGCGTCGCCTGATTTAGTACACTTGAAGTATTTTCCCACTTAAAATGGCTGATACCCTAATCTGCACTAGCTAGTGAAGGAGGGTGCAGATTGAGACTAGTGTACTACACAGTGTTATTTCCCATCTAATTATTGAATGTGAATGCTGTGAGGCTCCTCAGAGCACAATACACAGCTCAGCTTATTTGACTTTACTTCTGCTCTGCTCTGCGTGTGTGTGTGTGTGTGTGTGTGTGTGTGTGTGTGTGTGTGTGTGTGTGTGCCTTTAATGCGTTTCTTCAGGGTTGTCCTGGCTCTATACTGTATAAGGCTGATCTGCTCTCCTGATATTGGAAGCAAACACATTATTCTTGTAATCTTATCCACCTCTCTGTAATAGGCTAGCATTAGGGATGTGTGTCCAACCCAGTGTTCTTTTTGCTGTTGCCATCTGAAAGTTGCGTTTAATTTATAAATGGATGGAAATGTTAATGCATCTCTATATGTTTAGGAGGATTTTATTTAACTACATGCACTAAATAAGAGAAGCCTGGATTAGTGGATGACACTCAATCCTACAGTGAGTCTGCATTAGAATGGATCATGTGTTGTTGAGGCCCGTGACTGCATGAGCTCTTTGAAAGCGTGCAGCCGTTAAAAACTTTCACCAACTTTAATAACATTGATTGAGTTGTTATGTACACAGTGAAGAGCGTGCAGTATTATTCTACACCTGATTATTGATTTACTGTATACCCGAGTACTGTAATGCCTAGTTCACACTAGAGGATTTTAAGCCTGATTTGAGCCCGATTTGGAAGTTAACGAGCTCGCCGACAGATCGGGCTGTGATCGGGAAGAAATCTGCGGGTGCTCGGCGCTCGCCGCTCTTTATGTGTGAACTACTGAACAACGCATCAACGAGGCTCGCTGACGCGTCGCCGACACCTCGCAGACGGAAATCCAACATTCAGCATGCTAAATATTCCAGAGCAGTCGGCCGACTCAACCCCACATGTGGTCAGATGTAGTGACGAGCTGCAGCCAATGAGAGAGCAGATCAGCATGAGCTGAACGCCTGTGTGTTCAGGAGCTCAGCAGAAACATCTGTGATTGGTCAGAATGGGCATCAGTGCACTCGCTTCATTCTGCATTAGCACAGACATGAGAGGAGGATATATTAACAGTGGAACTAGAATTCTGTAACTATTAGAATTACCATACTGCTCATTCTGACCGTTCTCATATAAAACGCCATACTGTCACAACATATTTACATTCAAAGCTATTATTGAGATATTAAAATTAAGCTTTGAATGTCTGGCATCATATTTAATGACACCATTACCCTAAAAATATAATATTGTTTTGGTAATACAGCCTATAAATATGTAGTTAAGATACTAAAAAAATTAAAGGTCTTGGCTTTCATTTTCACTTTCAAACAGGAGCTATTCGGCACAGAATCTGCTGTTTTGAAAGATATCTGCAGTAAATTGATGTTTTTGCCATCAGAAAGTTTTGTTTATGTTAGCAGGAAGTTGCTAGGCAAGGAAATGCACACATATTTAAAGTCACAGTGAAAAGTATCAGACATGCATGCAGTCATGTTGACCAATATGGTAATTTAAGGCAGAAATGCTCAGTTCTTTACTGTTTTGTCAGAAAGAAATACACTGATAGTTAGAAAACGGCAGGGTAATATAGATATGTTAGTTTTATTTCAAAGAGTTATAAAATTACAAAAATTAAAAACTCTCTGTGTATCTCTCCACTGGACCCTGCAGATGAGTGATTAATCCGCTGATTTGACGATGTTTTTAAATGCTTTCTCCAAAGCTTGAAACGCTGTCAGTGATGTCATCAGCACACAAGCAGCCAATAGTGTTCAGCTGTTTCTGCTGACTCCTCCCTCAACATTTCATTGGCTGTGGTTTGGTAGCTTGAATGAGCTGATGGGGAATGAGTTGTTGTCAGATCATGTAGTGTGTGACCCCCCTCTTGTGGATCGTTCACGGAGTGTCGCGTAGTGTGAACACCTCAGAGATCAAAAGACACAAAGTCAAGTCATGAAGTGTGAACGGCACAGCGATCTGCTGATGTTTAAAATCCTGTAGTGTGAACTAGGCTTTAGAGGCCTCTGGAAACAATAGCGCACTGCTTATGTCATGTGGAGCTGTTTCTTCATTGTATTTGTGGATTATTATATTTTATGCAGATACACTGGCCTACAGAATCATCCCAGATCAATCTGAAATGATCAGTTCTTTATAAATAGAGATATTAATAAGTGATTAGGTCAAACTGCATTCATATTGCAAGTAAAGCTGACCGTTGCATTCTCAGTATGCTGCAGGCGTAGCGAAAGCAAGAACACTTGGCTGGACATGCAGCTGTAATGTGACTAAACACATCATTGGTGTCTGTGACGACTGTGTAAAGGTGGAGGCGTTGCTCATGAATATGTGTATGGTTTATTCTGTTAATGCTTGATTCTCTTTTAAACATGTCTTATGGTTCTTCTCTCCTCTGCAGAATCATCCCAGTCAATCTAAACTAATGACGTCTTTCCAAATAGAGCGATTCAGTCATCTGCTGTAGTTGCATAAAAACACCATCATGTTCATCATATGTCTCCAGCATGTGCACTGAGCTGAACTGAACACTGACCCGGTGTGCTTTAGAGCTGCTGAATCTCTGATTCTGTTCGTTTCTGCTGTGAATGAGGGTTTGTGCTGAATATTAAATATAATAATATATGCTGTCCAATCAGGTTCCCCGTTTCAGGGTCATCCCGCAGTTCTGTCTGTAGCTCCGCCCAGTGTGGTTCCTCCTCCTCTGTCATTGGGCGGTCCGTGTCCTCCTCCTCCTCCTCCCCCGCCAGTGCCGCCACTGCCCTCTGCTGGAGCTCCGCCTCCTCCCCCACCTCCTTTACCTGTGGGCGGGTACGGGGCGCATGGCTCCGCCCAGGATGACAGCAGTGCCCCCACTGGACTCGCCGCCATGATCGCCGGAGCCAAACTACGGCGCGTACAAAGGGTCAGGAAGATTACTGTTATGAAACGAACATTTTAAAAACAAGATTATGGCATAATAGCTAATTAATCAACTATCATCTATCTGTCTGTCTGTCTGTCTGTCTGTCTATCTATCTATCTATCTATCTATCTATCTATCTA